TCCCAGAACTTCGAAGTCACAAAAGCATATAAAAACTGTCCACTCTCCATCTCTCTCTCTCCCTCTGTGCGATGCTGCCTTTCTTCATTGCTGCTTTTCTTCATTCCTCGTGGAGGGCGACCCCTCCCCCGCTACGTTTCTTGCCTGTTTGTTGCTGCCAGCACAGATGGCTGCCACAGAAATTGTAAATCAGCTCATGGCTGGCCTGCTTGATCTCCTCTCCTCTCCTTCTTCTTTCCCTTCGGTGCAGTTAGAACTGACTCTGCCTCCTCCCAAGGCTGCTGCTTTTTTTTTCTCTCCCTCTCCCACCCAAACTGCCTCCTTTTATAGCCTCTCCTGTCTCCACCCCCTCCTCCTTCTTTCTCTTCTGGGTGAGCCAGAAGTGAGCCTGGGGCCTTTGCCTCACCCCAGCCACTCTGCAGTTCCGGAGGACTCTCTCACAATAAGTCCTTGCCTGCGCTGGCTCGTTCCCTCCCCCAGTACACTTGGCTGGGTGGGGCTGCGTACCATCTGCCACGTGCTAATGTACCACAGGTGGCACATATACCACCAGTTGAAAAGCCCTGACCTACAGAATGGAAAAAAGAAAGAAAAAAGATCAATTATAAAAGTACTGCTGGAACTAAATATAGAAATGGAAGTTTAGACATTAGCAAACTATTGAAAGAAAGAAAGAAAGAAAGAAAGAAAGAAAGAAAGAAAGAAAGAAAGAAAGAAAGAAAGAAAGAAAGAAAGAAAGAAGGAAGCAGGGGCATTAAATTCCAAAGCCTTGGATTGGCCAAATACAAAGGTGGGATAAAATAGAAAATCTGTGCATTGACAAAATTTCCATCTGTCAATTTCTGCGTGGAACAGCATGAGGCTAGAAACCAGGACACCTGGGAATTCTAGTCTAGTCTTAGACATGAAAGCTGGCTGGATGTCTTTGGGCTAGTCGATCCTTTTCAGCCCAGCCCATAGTTATTGTTCTGGGAAAACAAAAAGAAATATTAGGTATGTTCGCCACCTTGAGTTATGTATAAAAAATAATAAAAGTGTGATAAAAAATATACTACACTGATACATTTATGACATCCCAGGTTCTCTAGATCATGACCAAGTTTTGCCAAAATTATTCATTGGAAACTTTGCTACTTGGATTCAAATGTAATAAAAGCTCCCGGGAACATCAAGTTGAGGCTTGGAAAACAAGTGGGTTAAAATCTTATAGGATTTTAAGATCCAAATAGACAGGCATCTTGTTCATGTCTGGTGTAACAATCATTCAAAAGAATAAATCTTCACTAATTGGGTCATAACTAGAATTGAGGAAAAGCAATCCCCCCAAATTGCAAAATACTGGGGTTTGCAGATCAAAGTTGAACACTTATGGAAAAAGAAATTCACAGGAATACCAATTGTGACTGGTGTCCTTGGAACAATATTTAAAGTACCTTTAATATTTGAACATTTTTAATTTATTGGACCTGAACACACTAAGCACACCAAATATCTTGCTTGGAACTGCCTACAGTAGGGGGTCTTCAAACTTGACCCTTTTATGACTTGTGGACTTCAACTCCCAGAATTCCTCAGCCAACGCGCCTCTAACCAGTGTTAGATTGTGAATAACTGCACATTATTTATTAAGTTAAAAGTTTGACAGCACTAATGAAAATATTTACAGTAACAATTATGAACTACTACTAGAAAATATTTTTTCTTAAGATTGTTGTGTATCACCCAGTCATTTCTGGTGAAATGAGCAGTTATATAAATTTGAAATCTATTGGCCTGAAAGTCATAAATATTTAAATAGTTACTTCAAGAACTGTATTTAGGTAAAAACTTTTAAATTGTGCTTATGAGGAATAGTAGACTTTAAATTTATGGTACCCTGAAAAGAGTTCCATGTATATTGCTGTCCGTTTCTGGAAAAGAGGAAGGCTATAAAGCTAACAAGAATTTGGTTCCCTTTTACTTGTAACTTTCCTTTGCAGTCCTTTTCATTGCATTTTTGCTGCCATCTAGGGGAGACAGCAAGTACACTTATTGAAAATTTTGAAAGCCCTCGGCTAAACTCATTTGTGACATCTGCTTGTTTTTCCTGACAGAATTTATACACATCCCCACACAAACATATCACATTTCTACATTCAAATCATGCAAAATCCCAGTAATAGTTTGAAATTAAAGTTTGAAATCCAACACACGTTACATGTACATATTTCATTCCATTGGCGATCCCATGCACAAGGCAACAAGATCAGGGTATTGGTCTGTGCTTGCTTTACATTTTAACCCTCAAATGAAGAGGCAAAAAACATATTTTCAATTTTGTCCCAGAAGTAAATAATTAATTTTAGAATAACCAAAGCTGAGAAAACTGCAAGCGCCTAGGAAAGTAATGTTATGCATAAAAATTGAGGTCTATGAAAGGCTTATAGCACCTAAATTGTTTAACCAGAATACCCTATTTATTTAACCGCAATATAGTTCCAGCTCAATATGTACCTGGTAAAATAATCTGTACTCCTTTTCTCTGCATTTTACCAATTAGCCCTTCATGGCATATCAATTTTGTCATGCTGTTTATGGAATTAAGTTAGAATAAAGTGAACACAGCTATATACACATTAAAGTATTTTAATACACAAAATAGTAAGGTGGCAAGCTTATTTTAAATAACATCTTTATTTTTTTTTGCAAAGGCAAAATATTAAACTTAAAATAGGTCTTAGTACATCAAAATACTAAGTTTCTAATTGTATTCCAAGCATGGCCTTTGAACCACATCCTGTACATCTTAGGAAGAACATCCTTGATCTTTAATTGTACAGATTTTACAAACATAATAAATATATTTACCCCCTTACACATAACAGTATATGTACAACAGCAGTTGACAGTAGTAGCTCAGAACAGCAACTAAAGATATTTCCCACTCTCTTGTTTTGGTACCGTAGGCACACAAGAGTGAATATGGGATGTCACATGCAGCTAGCCTGCCGTTATTCTTCCACTTAAAAAAAATCTTTTGTCTTCCTAAAACACAAATCAAGAATAGCTCAACCAAAATTGTTATCCCACTGATCCCAAACACTTGATTTCTTAGAATCTCTTAAAATAATTTAAGACTATACGATATAAAAGAGATTCAAATGCAGATTTCTCCATTGGATGTCCTCCAGATGGAAGGATATTTCAGGAGGAAAGCTATTCTAGCATTTTTTAAACAATGAAACTCTTTAAAATCAAATCTGTTCTAAATCACTTTTGCTGATTTTTGTAAAAAAAAAAATCAAAATAAAAGACTTTTTAAAGCAGAAGAGCAAATAATTGCGAACAAATAATAACTTTTTTCCTGTAATGAAACTAGTTTATCCAGTAGTAATTTGATTGGGATGTTATTGCTGTTTGATGTATACAGACAATGACAACATAGTTGTGTTAACATTATTTTTAAAATGGTATCTCTGCAAATCTGGGTACAACAATTTATTTTATTTATTTTATGAGAATTATATACCGCTTTTAAGTGCAAGCACTCTCTAAGCGGTGTACACCAGTAAGCAATGTATATATATATTTACATTGCCCCCAACAATCTGGGTCCTCATTTTACCTACCCCGGAAGGATGGAAGGCTGAGTCAACCTTGAGCCGGTGAGATTTGAACCGCTGACCTGCTGAACACAGTCAGCTAAAGTGGCCTGCAGTACTGTACTCTAACTGCTGCGCCACCTCGGCTCAATCACTACAAATCTTCTGCTTTTCCCAGAAACTCTTGTTTAATCACAATTTTAATCTCCCTTGAAAAAAGGGTAGCAAAATATTTGTAAATTCATGATCCATTTCCACAGAGATGACTGAGAACAAAAAACAAGTTGCGATAATAGGAACAAGTAAGAGAGAACTTGGACTGCCATTAGAGGGGGGAAATATTTTACACATTAAATTTAAATACTCCAATATAAAATTATTTGTGACAATCTAAAACCTTCTAAAAAGACAATGTTTAATGTAGATGTTTCAGTTGATTGCACATTCTAGAAAGCCATTAAGATTAGACTCAAAATATTAGGTTACAATTGAAGCTTTGTAGGGTATTGTTTACTAAAGGAGACCCATGGTCCTAAAATCATGGAGTAAAGCAGGAGTATCTGAAGATTGCAAAGGCACAAGACTTTCACCCTTTGTGTAATTACACTATAAATCTTCATATTATCTAACCAAAGTATTTGCTTTCTCTATTTTACCATTTTAAAGTTAAAAAGGTGCTCCTGTTCTCTGTGCAAATCTAAAAATAAAGCCCTTCTTGCAAACCGTTAATTGCTTCAAAAGCAGAGGTACTGAACTATTCCAATAGAAACTACTTTCAATTATAAGCCAAATAACAAAATCAAATAGTTTATAAATACTTAAGGACTAATCATGGGAATATTTGCCCTGCCTCTCCCTCAAAGGAATGATAATTTTAGTGAAACCCCACCCCCCAAAATGGTATGCTTAATTATATTGTTAAAAACATGATTAAAATTCAAGTATGGTAATACTTGTAATTAAGCTATAGTCCTACAGGAAGCTGCTCCTATAAAATGTAACTTAAAAAGCACACTATTTGATTTTTAAAAAGGAACACTTGATGAAGCAAGTAAGAGCACAAGTTTGGTATATGACTGGCTTCCAGAAGAATTTCACAGATCCTTTTATTAAAACCCTCATCCAACCAAAGCATACCCATAATAAATTTGCAAAACATCAAGTCTGTTTCCATATATTTATAAGTCACTTTTAAAGCTGTGGTATTATTTTAAAATAAATAAAGGGCTAGAGACAAGCAGCTATTCAGTGTCCATGATGTCTAGAATGTTAATCCATTTGCACAGTATAACTTTCAGTAATGAAAAGAAAACTGTAGCCTTTTTTGAGTTTCACAGTGCTATATTTCTGAATTATTTTTAAATCTATATTAAACCAGGGTAAAGGACTAGGATATACTATGGCCACAAGATACATATAAGTTTAATGAAAAATGGCAATTGATTTCAATGTAATCAAAAAGTTGATATGTATAGTAGTGGTATGTCTGTTTATTTTACATAGTGGGAATAAGCTACTTGAAGATATCTACAAGTCCAAAGCCAAAATTCCACTGCACCCAAAAGAAATTCAGGTTCAATGAACAATTAATATGGCCAGAAAATGAAGCCTTCAATTACATTTATGTGGTATAAAAATGCAAATGCCTTACAAATGTTATTATACAACAGAATTAACATGTTTGGCCAGCTTTAGAGATAGCGTGGGATAGAAAAATTGCCCATTGCAATATATTATAAGTTTCCTTCAAGCAGAAATAACCGATAGATTTACATTGAAATGCAAACAAATTAACTTGGGAACAGAAGAGAAAACTGAGTAATGGTGATTAAATGCACTGACAATTTTGCTTAGTATTCAAAATGTTTCATTTTTGTAAGAACAGAAATGTTAGTATTGAAGAAAGATGGCATTTCTACTATCACACACCTATTACTTCACTTACCATTCCCTGGACTTTTTTCACTGCTTTTCATAGTTGGCTACCATGTGTAATACATATCTTGCAAGAATGAACCATTTGGAGGTGTGTTGCTTTCTTAATATGGCTGATGTTCAGCCCTTTGCTTCTCATTATGAAAGCCTGCATTGCTGAAAACCTGATTCCCAAATGCTATTGCTACAACTGAGAAATTTATCTTCAACAATACTTTGAGATTACATTAAATTATTACTTATTAGAATAAGTGTGATTCAGTTCTCTAATTGATTTGAGAAATGGAAGCTCCTTCAATGTTTTAGTTCCCTTTCCAAAGTGCATAGTCACCTATAACTTCTGCTCTCGCCACTTGCAGTGCACATTCACTTCGCCTTGGAAAATACACATTATGTTCACAAGTGGAATTATTTTTAAAAGATTTATAATTCTCTATTCAACAAATAAGTTACTATTTGCTCAATATTTAAGGATATTTAAGAATCTTTTATTAAGAGAGCAAAGAGAGATGGTGATTTTTTTATCACTTTCATCCATAGGCTACTTTAAAGCACAACCTCCTTTTAAATAAAATGTTCAGCATTATTAAATTTAAAATACGAATGAGATCTTTTGGTACCAGGATCAAAATTTATATAAAAGGCCTAAAACTGTCAATAAAATTATACATGGCCCAGCACAAGAGATTTAAAAATAGTTTACTCAATAGTAATTAGAACTCAACACCTCAATCCTCACCAATTGGCTAAATCCCCGCATACAATTTTGAGCAAGATTCTCACCAATCCCACTCCCCAGGGGATCATTTCAGCACAATTTATGCACAAACACACACTAAGCCTTTTCCATAGTACTGTTACCAAAAAGAAGAGTTCCTTCAAATCAGCATAAGGGGAGATTAAGCATCACATGCTAGTTACCTTTATCTATAGGTAGAAGTGGTTAATTAAGGTATTCATATAAAACCAGCTGTTAGACAGAGCTAGCTGCACCAATGCCTCAATTTTCCCATTTGAAATAGTGTCAACATTGCCATGCTATTCTTCTGTCCTGGTAACCTTAGTTCTATTGTTTCTTTATGGTCTGCAGAGAGAGATTTCTGTTGAAGTGTACTGTCCAAGTCTCAACCTTTCTTGTCTAGCTTTGAGTTTATTTTCTGTATTCACCATTCTGCATCTCCAATGGCTTTGGAAAATACATAATCTCTGCCATTAAGATTCATGATTCCATCTTTGAGGTGAAACTTCCACTTATTCTTACTTCTATGTATCTGGGAAGATGGGATACAAAAACAAGAAAGATCTTACATTTTGTTCAATAATCAGTATGTTGTGAATAGATGGTAAGATTGTATGTGTGTGTGTATGTGTGAACAGAATAGCACTGTTGTGTATGTTTCTTTATCTAAAACCTTTGTTCTAAATTAGGCACTATAAATATTCCAAGATAAATTCCTTAAGGAGGAAATTAACATAAATCCAAGTATATAAATCCTATCTTTCCTAGCTATGTAAAATAAATCACAGTTAAAATAGAAATATAATAAAACTGTTTTAAATAGAAAAGTAAAATAGTATTTCTGAAATCCAAAATTTTTGTAAACATTTTCAAATTACCAATCCAGCATGCCAAAGTTTGCCTGAAACAGAAAATTAATGAGTCTGAACAGGCACTTTGGAAAGCGGCACCAAAATCTGGATGCATCTGTTAAGATGGTCCTCTCCTACATTCTCATTACTGTGAACAGAATTGTATTTACATAGTACTAGGTGGATCCCAAAGTTTTTAAACAGTTGTCATTCAATTGAGGATTTTTTTTAGTTGTTAAATATTTTCAAAATAAATTCATCTACCTATTTACTAAAATAATTCTAATTGTCAGGAAATACTTTGCTAAGGTTAATATAATAAGCATATGGACAGATGCATATAACAGACCCAAGGCATTTGGTTTTATATATTACCTTGTCATACTGGCACACTACAACATTCTCAGTGTCAAATAATTCCTGTCCTTCTTCATCACTAACATCATCTTCACTATTGAGAGGTTCCTAGAAGAGATTAATTTTGTAAATCAATAGAATTGAGAACAATTGCTGCATAATATGAACACAGCATTTTAGATGTAATGTGTTTTTCTAATTACAGATAGATACAACTTACTATCACAATGGAGCCCAACATTTCTGTCACTAAGTGAGACATTTGTTAAGTGAATGTTGCTCTTTCTTGTCATAGTTCTTAAGTGAATCACTGCAGTTGTTAAGTGAACTTGGTTTCCCCAGTGACTTGTCAGAACATTGCAAAGGGTGATCACATAATCCCAGGACACTGCAACTGTCATAAATATGAATTAGTTGCCAAATGTCTAAATTTTGATCACATGACCACGGGGATGCTACAATGGTGAAAAATGGTGATAAGTCATTTTTTTTCAGTGCCATAGTATCTTTGAACAATCACTAAACGAACTGTTGTAAATTAAAGACTACCTGTACAAAAATTTTAGTTCCTTGATTTTTCTTTTCAATATTTAGCTCCTCCAATTTGAGATGATTGCAGTTGTAAGCCAAAATGATGCAATTGGACTTTTTCTCTTTGGGTTTCCAGGCAAGCCATTTTAATTGTATCTCCATACTTCACTGAATCATTCAATAGTAATGACTTGCCTTCTTAAATTCTAAATACCTGTTAGAAACCTGAAATATCAACAAACATACTGGTATTTCTCCAACCTGCAGGGGAAGCTTTCAATAACATAACAAGAAAATAATTTACTTAGATAGTTGTTTGACTGATCCACAATAGCAACTACTATTTGCTTAGCCAAAATATACATATCAAAATGCCTCTCTAGGTATAACATAAAACAAGTTATCAAAATTTACCTCCTCAACCTGGCCATCTTCACCTCCATCCTTTTCTTTGTCTTCCTCTTCATCATCATCATAATCTTCCTCTTCCTCCTCCTCTTCTTCAGATGATGTATCACCTGCTCCATCCACTTGCAGCACTGAAAGTGCCTGTGATTGTGCTGGCTCATATTCTTCCTTCTCTGCTTCATCTTCAGATGATGTATCACCTGCACCATCTACTTGCAGCATTAAAGGTGCCTGTGGTTGTGCTGGTTGTTGCTGAGGTTGTTGCTGACCAGCTGCAGAAATCTGTGCTTGCGCTGGTGTAGGTGCAGCCACAGTTGTAGGTATTACTTGGGCTTTGTTTCCTGTAAATAAGATCTGCTGGGGTTGAATAATCACTCCTGTCTGTTGCGAGATCCCTCCAGGAACTGGGGCCAAAACCTGATTTTTAAAAAAGGAATTATCAATGGCTGTACATATTTCGAACCCAGAAAAAAAAGATTTTTTTTCACGATTTAAATACAACAATATTAAAATTCATATGGCAAGGGAAGAAAGCATGAATTAAAATTAAGATGTTACAAGAAGCTAAAGATAGTGGAAGATTCGGACTTCCAACGGTTTTGAATAACTGTTGGAAGTGTAAACAAAAACCAGGCACTTATTATCACATCTAGTGGATGTACCCCAGTGCAAAGAAATTCTGGCATAAGATTCATATATGGCTGGAAAAGATAACTAAAATACATATAGAATGTAAGCCAGAATTGTTTCTGCTATGTATATTAGGAACTAATTATGGGAAAGAGAACGAATATTTAATATTACATATATTGACAGCCGCAAGAATAGCATTTGCCCAATACTGGACAAATGAAGATATATTTATTTATTTATTTACAAATATTTATATGCCGCCCAATCCCAAAGGACTCAGGGCGGCGTACAAGGTTAAAAACAGTCATAAAAGAATAAAATAATCCAGTCATACCGCGAGTCCGATCATATCCCGGCCCCCCGGGGACATCAGCCCCAGGCCTGCCGGAACAGGAGAGTTTTAACGGCTTTCTTAAAGGCCGGCAGGGTGGGAGTAGTTCGAACCTCGGGGGGAAGTTGATTCCACCAGGTCGGAGCCACCACAGAAAAGGCCCTTCCCCGAGGGCCCGCCAGCCGACATTGTCTGGCCGACGGGACCTGAAGGAGGCCCAATCTATGGGACCTCACCGGTCTCTGGGAGCTGTGCGGCAGAATGCGGTCCTGTAAGTAACCTGGCCCTATGCCATGAAGGGCTTTGAAGGTGATAACCAACACCTTGAATTGCGTCCGGAGACCCACAGGAAGCCAGTGCAGCTCGCGGAGGATAGGTGACACGTGGGCGTACCTTGGCGCGCCCACAATCGCTCTCGTGGCTGCGTTCTGAACCAACTGCAGCCTCCGAACGCCCTTCAAGGGTAGCCCCATGTAGAGCGCGTTACAGTAATCCAGTCTTGAGGTGACAAGGGCATGAGTGACTGTGAGTAAAGCCTCCCGGTCCAAATAAGGCCGCAACTGGTGCACCAGGCGAACCTGGGCAAAGGTCCCCCTGGCCACAGCCGATAGATGTTCCAAATTTAGCTGTGAGTCCAGGAGGACACCCAAGTTGCGTGCCTGCACTGAGGGAGGTAAATTTGCCCCCCCCAGGACTAAAGATGGACCATCCAGTTGGCCTTTGGGAGGCAAGACCCAGAGCCACTCGGTCTTGTCAGGGTTGAGTCTAAGCCTGTTCACCCCCATCCAGACCCTCACATCTTCCAGGCACCGGCACATCACGTCGACTGCTTCACTGAAAGGACACGGGGTGGAGATATACAATTGGGTATCATCCGCATACTGATGATACCTCACCCCGTGTCGCCGAATGATCTCACCCAGCGGTTTCATGTAGATGTTAAAAAGGAGGGGGGACAGGACCGAGCCCTGAGGCACCCCATAATCGAGGCGCCTAGGGGTCGATCTCTGTCCGCCCGCCAACACCGACTGCGACCTGTCAGAGAGGTAGGAGAACCACCGCAATACGGTGCCGCCCACCCCCACCTCTCCGAGACGACGCAGAAGGATACCATGGTCGATGGTATCGAAAGCCGCTGAGAAGGTCAAGAAGCACCAGGATAGAGGAATAACCCCTATCCCGGGCTCGCCAGAGGTCATCGGTCAGTGCGACCAAAGCAGTCTCAGTGCTGTAGCCGGGCCTGAAACCAGATTGAAAAGGGTCCAGATAATTGGTTTCCTCCAAGGATCGCAAGAGTTGAGACGCCACCACCTTCTCTACAACCTTCCCCACAAAGGGGAGGTTGGAGACGGGACGAAAGTTCTTCAAAACAGCTGGGTCCAGGGAAGGCTTCTTGAGGAGGGGCCTCACCACCGCTTCCTTTAAAGGTTGCGGGAAAGACCCCTCCATCAAGGAAGCGTTGATTATCGCCTGGAGCCAGCCTCGTGTCACCTCCCTACTGGCAGAAACCAGCCAGGAGGGGCACGGGTCCAATAAACAGGTGGCGGCATTCATTGCCCTCACAGCCTTGTCCACTTCATCAGGGGTCACAGGCTCAAACTCGCTCCAGATAACATGACTAAGACCAGCCCCTGGCAACTCGGCTGGCACTGCCCAGTCGGAGTCCAGGTCTCTCTGAATCTGAGCGATTTTGTCCGACAGAAACGGAACAAACTCCTCAGCTCTCCCCTGCAAGGGTTCCTCCGCCTCCTCCACTTTAAGAAGGGAGCGGGTCACCCTAAACAAGGCGGCCGGGCGAGATTCTGCGGACGCAATAAGTGCGGAAAAGTGAACACGCTTTGCCGCCCTTATCGCCACTAAATAAGTCCTAAGATAGGCTCTTAATAGTGATCGGTCAGATTCAGAGTTACTGGCCCTCCAACGTCGCTCTAGACGTCTCTTGTGGCGCTTCATCTCCCGGAGCTCCTCAGTAAACCAAGGGGCCCTCCGGGGACCACCACCACAGAGAGGTCGCAAAGGCGCAATTCGATCCAGGGCCCCGGACGCCGCCTCATTCCAGGCCGCAACCAGGGACCCGGACGAGTTGTGGACAAGGGAGTCAGGTATTTCCCCAAGCTCCTCCTGGAACCGATCTGGGTCCATTAGGCGCCTGGGGCGGAACCACCTAGTCGGCTCCCTCTCCCTGCGATGGGGGAGTGATGCTCTGAAGTCCAGCCTCAATAGGAAATGATCTGTCCATGACAAGGGCGAGATCTCTATTCCCCTTAATTCCAGATCATGTCTCCATTGCCCCGAGAGAAACACAAGGTCGAGTGTGTGACCACCCCTATGAGTTGGGTCCTGAATTACCTGGGTCAGGTCCATGGTTGCCATGGAAGCCATGAACTCCTGCGCCGCCTCTGAGCGATCGCCGAGTGATAGCAGATTAAAGTCCCCCAGTACTATAAGTCTGGGGAACTCCACCGCCAACCCGGCTACTGACTCCAGCAACGCAGGCAGAGCTGTTGCAACGCAGCTGGGAGGTAGGTACGTCAGCAGCAAGCCCAACTGAACCCGTGAACCCAACTTCAATAGGAGGGACTCACACCCAACAACCTCCGGGGCAGGAATCCCACGAGGGCTCAAGGACTTCCGAGCGATGACTGCCACTCCCCCACCCCTGCTCTGATGTCGAGGCTGATGAAGCACCACAAACCCGTCCGGGCACATCTCCGAGAGGGAAACACCCCCCTCAGGGCCCAGTCAGGTTTCGGTTATACATGCCAGGTCCGCCCTGCTGTCCAATATTAAATCACGGACAAGGGGGCCTTTGCTGACAACGGACCTGGCATTAAGCAACAGCAGCCTGCAATCAGGGCCCTGTACTCCCCTGTCACCAGTACTACAGGATGAGCCTTTTGAGGGGCCGGAACAAGGAATCGCTCTAACATAGCGAGTCCTCGTTCCCCAAAGTTGGCCTGCCCCTCGGCTCTCGCCATATCTGCCCATCCCAGTCATGACCGGGATGCTCCGACCTTCTCCCCTCCCTGGAATACCTCCAACCTCACCAGCCTTCTCCCTTCCTGACCGGACTCGCTTTCCATACAAACCAAGCCCAAGGGTAAGTCCTGGCCCCCCCCCCTACTTTTGCTATTGCACTCAGCAGAGGGAGTACCAGGCTCCACCCCCGACTCCACCATTCTCATACCCCAAACACTCAATACACATTCACACTCAATTTATATACATAAAAAGTAAAAAATTTCCGCATTCATACACCCTAAATACAATAATAAATTTATATATAACAGGGCCACCATTCATCTACATGCATACTCACACCCACAGCAAACATTCTCTAAAAAAAATAGTATTGCCCCTCTGTGTCCCAGGGTGGTCCAATGTGGCCGGCTAGATGATCATTAAGTACTTGTCTTGGGGCAGACCGTACTTGGCCTTATGCTCCTCAAAGAGCTGGGTCAACTTCTCCAGTTGTTACTGGCCGTCACCGCAACGGCGGCAATTGCTGCCAAGGCAACGGGCGAAGTCATGCGGGGGACCCAGATCACTGGAGAAGGCCCCGCCGCGGAATCTGAGGAAAACAACGAGGCGGCGGCGGCGGCGATGATAGCGGAGAAGGAAAAGGAAGCCACACATGGGGCAGCGAAGGTTGGCTGAGCGACGGGCCGGGTTGCCCAGGCGGGCTGCTGCGGCGAGGCCTGCCGCCACGGGGGGGGGGCGGCTGTGGCTGCTGGTGGAGCAGGCCGGCACTCTCCAGCGGCAGAAAGTCAGGCTGTGGGTTGCTGCCATGTGGGACGCGGGATATGCCGGGCAGCGGGGACGAGGCGGTGGCGGCCTCCAGGCACAGCAAAGCGGCCGAGGCGAAAGACGAAAGCTCTATACAAACCCAGTTAGAAAACTGGCTAACCAGACCAAGCTTCAGTGGAAAGGAAGCCATGAGGGTAAGAACGCTGGGTTGGGCAGGGTAAGGCGGGCAGGGTAAGGCAGAGTAGGGAAGACAGGGCAGCAGGGTAAGGCGAGGCAGCGGCAGCTGGAAAAGCCACGGACGAGGCATGCCCTGCACTTCTCCCTGGCGAAGGTTGAGAAATTTTCCTCCGCCCGGGAAATTACCTGGCAGCTCCGTCGCCTGCCTCGCCCGAGCCCAGCCTCTTTTCCAAACTCGTTGATAGGCCCGAACGCCGCCACTAGCCCAGCTCTAGTCCCCGCCTATCTTCAGCTCCGGCGCAGCAATGGCGGCGTCGGCCTTGGCGCTTTCCTTCGTCCTTCAACCTTTGGAAGCTGCCGCGGGATCCAGGAGAAGGGCGCGAACGGGCCTCTGTCGGTGGAAAGAAGCCGCGCCCGCCCCGCGCTGGGCTTGGGGACTCTCAGTCTTCAGAGACAAACAGAAGCGGCCGTTGCACCCAGGCGAAGTTCGGCTCCTCAGCCTGGAGTTTCGGCGTCCAAGGCAGAGCCG